TTATTTTAATTACTCGCTAATATGATGAATGTTTAGATTAACCTTTTGGTCTATGTTACATCAGTAAATCATTCACATTTTCTGAGAGACCAGTATAATTCCCTGATTAAGTCTATGAACACAACAATGTTAAATTCTCAATAATGTAAGGTCAATAAAAGCAGAACATTCTCCTACTTGTTAACCTCGAACTATCAAATGTTCAGCATTTCTGCTTGAAATATAAATGAAACAATGAATTGACGATCAAAATATTTCAATGATTTAATCTGCTTATCTTTGCAGCCTTAAACAAGAAAAGAATTGGTGACTGCAAAACCAGTTTGCCTAAATATCCATAAATAAATAGAGATATTCCTAAATGTTATGAGAAATGAGTTTCCATCTTTACACAATTTTGTTTTAATTGTTGTTGCTTTATGATGTCATGACTCAAAGTCACAAATCTACAGCTGCCATGTAGTGATTGTCAATGTGTCTGGTCATTATCATATCATTTTAATTCTTCTTTTTTTTTTTCTGCCAGATGTCCAAGCAGTTGGAGACGTTCAAATCGAACCTGGAGGAGTTTGCCAGCAAGCACAAACAAGAAATTCGAAAGAACCCACAATTCAGGGTTCAGTTTCAGGAAATGTGTGCCACCATCGGAGTTGACCCACTTGCCTGTTAGAATCTTTCAGTATTTAATTGTTGTTCAAATCACATGTTTTCTGTTCATATCTTCTCAAGCTGATCATAATAATTCCTCTTATTGTCCACAGCTGGAAAAGGGTTTTGGTCTGAGATGCTTGGAGTCGGTGACTTCTACTATGAGCTCGGTGTGCAGATCATTGAAGTGTGCCTGGCCCTGAAACACAGAAACGGAGGTCTGTAATTTAAGTGAAAACTGAGTGATTGTGATTGTATTTGATGGCACCAGAAACAAGTGTTGACAGTCATATCAATGGACTCTGTTTAGGCCTCATATCCATCAGTAATATTTCAGCCATATTCAATGCATGTCAGAAAGTTAAATAACACTAGATGAAGTCATGAACATTATTCTCGATGTGAATGTAATGCTGCAGCCTCATAACATGTGTTTTCATTTAGGGCTCATTACGTTGGATGAACTCCATCAGAGAGTTCTGAAAGGAAGAGGTAAATACGCTCAGGATGTGAGCCAGTAAGTAAAACCACTCAAACACACACAGTATCTGTTATTGTCAAGTTTTCTCTATCTAGGTTAACTTAACAAGCCTGAATGTCCATGTCGGATCTGAGTTGTTCTTTAATTAACGTGATTTAATATGTGCTTCTCAGAGACGACTTGATGAGAGCCATAAAGAAGCTGAAGGTGATGGGGAGTGATTTTGGGATGATTCCTGTCGGTGGTTCTTACTTGGTGCAGTCAGTCCCAGCAGAGCTTAACATGGACCATACTGTGGTCCTACAGCTGGCTGAGGTAACGTGCAGCTCCTGGGTTCATGGTTTAAGATTTGGCCGAGGTACAACTACTGTAGCTCAGTTCTCTGTATCTGTATCCATCTTCAATCATCACACAACATTGAAAACAAACATAATATCTAATTATATCTGGGGAAAGTGTTTTAGGATCTCCATATCACTGCAACAGTTTTTTGGCTGTAGTTTAAAAGTTTTATCGTTTCATTTTGCCTACCAGAGATCTTTACATTCTCTTTTTAATGCAAAGGCTATATTCATTTCTATTATTTGCTATAAAATTACTCTTTTTGTAAAGTTTTGGATTTGACATTTACATTACACAATTATTCTTCAAGTTACATTATCACATACCAAAAAGTCTGTCATTAACAGATAGATAGAGACAGCTCTGTAACAGTGTTACATATTCCTGGTCAGAAAAGGGTCCATTTATAGATTGTACTAGTGTGGGAAATCCTGATGTCTGTTTGTTTCTGTATTCATTTGCAGAAAAAGGGATACGTCACAGTCAGTGAGATCAAGGAGAGCTTGAAATGGGAGAAGGAACGTGCTTGTCACGTCCTGGTAAGTGTCAGGGAGTTTATTTGACTCTATGGCAGCCAGACTCTCGCTTCTCTGGTCATAATAAGAAAAAACATTGAGTGTGAACCCTGTAAAGAAACCTCTCGTGTTTCTAGGACCACCTGCTGAAAGAAGGCTTGGCCTGGTTGGACGCTCAAGCAGCTGGAGAGGCACAGTACTGGCTCCCAGCTCTCTTCTCCGAGCTCCTGTCCTGTGATGTCACACCGGAGGAGGCCAATCAGATGTCACCTTAAACAAAAGTAAACGATGAGGTGGAGCGGGAACAGAAGCTGGTGACAGTTTCAGAGACATGTTGGTGAAACGAGTCTGGAGGGAAGACTCGTGTGATGGAGGTGGCTGGTTCAGTGGCAGGTTGAACTCCCTCTAAGAGGATTTTCTGAGGAGAGTGTAACAAGTGCACTTCGGTTGTTATAGAGTCACTGAAAGCAGCTCGATTTGTGTTACACTGCATATGAAATTCAGTGTAACTCCTCTTGTCTTGTAGTCATGGTTGACGGGTGTGGTAACTCTCATTGCATAGAGCTTGTAATTGTTTCATTTTGCATGTATACACTCTACCTTTGAAAGAAAAGAAAACATCAGCTGAATTTAACTTTTGATCCACGTTTTTATTATTATTTCAGCAAGACCATATTAAATATGCCTACAGTTCATCTATTTTTATGCTCAATGGTACAAAATCACTTGTGTCCGTCTCTTCCACATCAACAGTTCATTCAGTCCCATACATTTTACAAGCAGATTAAATGAACGCTTGAATCAATAGATCTTATCACAGTAGTGCAAAGCTACACTGTAAATGAACAATTGTTTACATGTCATGTGCAAAATCAGCTTTCAGACACCCGAAACGTTAACAATGAGCATCATACCTGTTTTTGATTGTGCTATTTTTTTATTGATAATTTTTTTTTATACAGATATATAACGAGGACTAAACATTTAGACATCCCATATATACATGTATATATGTACATACTGACTGACTGGCAACACTACTATATGCTACAAGAATGTACAACATGTACGATACCAAAACAAACAGATAAACAGGAAAATAACAATACAATTTAATAATACAGTCCATCCAAATATGATCTTATACAGATCCAAGGCCCATTGTCTTCATGGTTGGATTCAAAAAGGGTGGGAGGTTGTCCGTTCCTTTGACAATAAATCCATGAAATCCTTAGGCCAATTCTCTATACTAAAGCAGTCTGATTTACATAATATCCAATTAATCATAAGAATACGTTTTTCTGTCAAAAAAGCTAATGGAAGGATCTGGTGTGTGAGCATTGATTGTATATTTTCTACCTTTGTGCCTAAGAGGCAGACTGGTGGGCATTGGGGTGTTTTCACATCCAGAATGAAAAACAGTAATTGAGTAACCTCCCTCAGAAAGCTCCTCACTGCAGGGCAATGTCACAACTGGTGCTAAAAGGTTTAATCCCCTCCACAGCCAGCACGGATGTTAAAGGGAATGGTCAATTTTATTAAAATTACATGGGGTGATATACTCCCTATGCCCCATTTTTATTTGGATAGTGTCATACCTTACACATTTGGACAAAGCTGTGTTGTCTCCTACTGTGTTGTGGTCAGGGAGATGTCCATGTCCCTCTCCTATAGTTGTTTAGAGGAGATTTATTGTCTGAGGAGGCGTGGGACAACAACTTGTGCCGTGCAGAAACTGTTTCCCTCCCAGAGGCAATCCCCTTCAGTTTAATACCCGGGTCTACATTAACTCTGGTGTCCCTGTTCCTTAAAAGAAGTATATTTAAGATGGATCTTTGTAAATAGGATAGAAATTCTAAATCTCTTAACTCATGAAAGGGTACAATTTCACCATCCTTCATAATCTGTGCTCTTTGATTTAAGGCCTGACACTGATATGTATTATTTCTCAGCGATCTGCCTCCAGCAATTAGTCAATGATTATTCCATACAGGGCGTGACTATTAAGATGCCCTGTTAAAGGCATCTCTGCTACTTATACAAGAGTCAGACATGTGCACTACTTATTCACTAATCTGCTCATTTTTTATTTTCTGTAGAATTCTGCCACAGAATCACAGCAGGAAGTGGGATCTGAATGAGTCCCAGAGTTAGCAAGAGAATAAAGCTAGATGTACTGTGCCCGTTAAATTAACATAAATTGTACTAAATAAAAATAAGTACATGTAACATTTAGCGAAAGTGGGAACATAAATAGTTTTATTTTTTTTTATCAGGTATACATTACGTAAAAGATGTGGATGCGGAACCTTTGAATTGTCGCAGCGTCTAGTCGGACTTATTCCGGTCGGAACGCGAAGTAGCCGTTGACGCACAAAGATCTGCTGTGTCGCTTCGCTCTTTCCTGCTCAGTCTGAGAATTATCGAGCTTGACTCCGCTCAGGCGACAGACATCATCCCCTCTGACTGTGATGTCAGTGCGCTGACACGCAGAATGGACGGAGACATTTCTGAGTTACCGGGTGAGTTCAAACCGCTGCCGACTCTTTATGTTTGGCTAGGCCGCAACACAGCCCGCGCGCGGGAATAGCCTTGCTAACTGTGTAAATAGCTAGTTGGAAATATTTCTCTGCTCGTCACTTTAAGATTTTATGAAGACAAATACTCAACCCCGTTGGGTCCACGGCACAACTGAAGCGGGCTGTGGTGTTGACAGCCGCAGAAAGAAGTGGACGTTTCGAGTTCCGGGCTATTGCAAGTTATCGGCTCTGCTATCTTAGCTAACGCTAGAGCTAGCTGCTGGCAAGCTAATGGGGCTGGTTGTTATCCTTCTGGGCGAACTGCGACAGCCCCCAATGGTCAACACGTTTGTGTGCGTTGCGTGTGTCTGAAAACATTTACACTTCCTTGAGGATTTCCACCGACACACAGGAAATCGGGCACATTCGTCTTAACCAAGGCTGTAATGCAGTTTGCAGAGAAAGAAGACGACCCTCAGTGTTAGACCGTGTTTTTGTCACAGTTTACAGACTTAGTATGATGATACACCAATGAAAGGTCAACAACAACAGGAAATACATGTCGGTTGGCTCCAATATCCAATCAACATGTTACTGTAGGACTTGAAGGCTTTAATGATTTGTTTGGTAGTTCTGTTTGGTTCTGCCAGACTAAAATATTTCTTATTATCTTTCCATGCAAATAGTTTTGGTTAAGGTTTTGAGATACCCTGAAGACAGGTACTTTGGTGTCCTGGTTAAAAAGGAGATGTCTAGATGACTAGTCTTATATAGTTGTAGTGTGCATAGCATTGGAAATGAAAGGATGCAGCTGCATCTTTCTTGAAGTGAGATGTAAGAACCATGACATATGTGTCCCCAACATTTTTAATCTCTGTCTATTCTTAGAATCTTCTATCAGGGATTAGATGCAATCTATGTTATTGCTCAACCTGAGAAAAAGATACTACCATGACTCTTTAAGTGTTAATATTTAATTGAATTTGATTCCCTTCTCTACAGGTCCTTCACTTTCCCTGTCCACTTTGCGCCTCCTTGTCCCACCTATTCGGCTGGTCTCTGCAGCAATCTGGCAGACAGTGGAGCAGAAGATTGTGTCTGACTATGGGCTGCTTGAGGAGTTTGTGTTCATGGTCACAGAGATTGTCCCTCAACTTCTCTCCACGAGGCAGCGGGCCGAACTCATTTTGGGTCTAAGAGCACGAGTAAGGAAACCTTTTTGGGTGTGGGAGAGTAGGACATAATGAGTGGGCAGGTAAAAATCACAGGAGCAACAGACCTCCATTAATTAAATCAAATTTGATTTCTATAGCCTATATTTACAAATCACAATCTGCTTTATGCATAAATCACAATTTGCCTCGCATCCTACAAACCTAGAAGAGTTGCTGATTACTGTATCAGCGTCTGCTCTGTTGTGTGGAAAAGGTTGACCAGAGTTAAACACTCTCCTCTACATTAGGGCTGCAACAACTAATCGATTATAAGAATTGTTGGCAACTTATTTAGTAATCGATTGGTCAGGCCCACACTGTGGCAGCTTCTCTTAAGTTGACACTTCTAACAATACAATGAAGACTAGTCGTCAAAAGTGTGGAAACATTTTACATCAAAGCCTTCAGAGACTGTTAGCTGCAAACTGTATAAAGGTAATTTCACATGGAACAGCAGCACAGCATCATTGTAGTATGAACCTGAAGAGAAAACACGCTGGAGCCACTCTTCTCTCAGTTTACTGGTGGATCATAAACAACTTTAGGTTCATATCGCATTCATGTGAAATCAGCTTAACACACGTTTCCTTTGAGGTTTTAACGTAAAATGTTCACACACTTAACGCCAGTCGCTTCACCGACTCAATGAGAAGAGAGGAGGAGAGACAGCAGCTGTGGTCGAGGGAGGGAGCACTGATAGCGATCACTAAGTGTGGAAAAAAAAAAAAAAAAAAAAACAGAACATCATTTTCAGTGTTAATGTTCTAAAGCAGTAATGAGACATGGAGTCACCCCAGTGCAGCTTATCTGCTGTGAGTGACAGAGACTGTGTGACTGACAAGCACCTCCAGTCACAGTCACCAGGACAATTTTTGTAAATCATGTTTGACTATTCAGAATTAACATTTACAAAATCAACAAGGTAATTTTGACTAGTCATTGACTGTGACCAGTAAGAATTTTAATAGATCTATAACATGCCAAAACAGTATCTTGGATTCAGTTTTAATTACTCAACTCAAACTACTTTGTATTTATGTGTGTGGTTTCTCATATAGATATCTACAATTCATTATTATTATTATAATCATATTAAATGTATCTATAATTTGCTTCAATTTAAGATAACTCAAATTAAGTTTGAACTTGTCCGAATGGTGTTGCAGATATCATGGACCTAAATTATGAATAGTCAGAATGAATTTTTTTGGCAGACTTTCTGAATCAGGCATTATCATCATAATTATGTTGCAGGTGTCTGTTATACATGTAAAATCAGCATTGTACAATAAAATGCTTTTGCTTTTCGGAAAAAACTGCTTAAAAGGGTCAAATTTAGCGTTCATCTGTTTAATCTGAATAATAATCGAAAAAATAATAAATGGATTAATTGATTATCAAAATAAGCGCCAGTTGCAGCCTTACTCTCCGTGCACGCCGGCAGTAGTCGAAGTTGTTCCAGGAAACTCTTCGCTGCTTCATATTGCTTCAGGCAGTACATTATACTGTGAAAATGTAAGTGTTGTCTTTGTGTTGCAGTTCCTTATTGTGGTTTACTCCAGCATCACCGCTTCACACTGCAGTCCTCAGCCTCGCATGCACAGAAATGACTCACAGTCTTAAATGTTAGACATAAAATCTTTTTAAACTGTGTGCAGGACCATTATTCAGAGAAATGTGTTTGCTCATTGGCATAAAACAGCGTTATTTAATAACCCATTATTTTAGACATGGTTGAGAAAAATTGAAATGGATAGATATGAATATTTCTGCAGAGTCACCTTTTCATTATTGTTGCTGTCTTCTGATTGTAGCTGATCCTGGAGTTATGTCGCTCTGAGGAAACTGCTGACCTCCAGATTATTCAGCCACACCTTGACCGAATGCAGAACCTCAGATCTCTGTGGAATGTCGAGGTGAGTCTGAACCTACAGTCCACAAAATAAAATATCTAGTGTTTCTTTCATG